AATTTTTTTGTTATTGACAACGTACACACTATATATGCATCAGCTCGAATTCATATCGTTTAAAAATAACAATATTTTATTTTATCACTTATATCACTTAATGAATTCAAGTTAATAACTTACCTATAATATTCATACATGACAGAATTAAACATATATACTAAAAGAGATGATACCTTAATCATATATAATACGCGCACACTTTATTGCTTTTGAAATGCTGGCTTAGTTTGACCAATTTTTGGAATAATTCCCCCTTTGTATGAAGTCAAACAATAAGGCTTTTTATTCTTGAGCCGGTATTTATATAGTACTAAATCAAATATTGTTAATGTTCTTAACTAATTGTCACACGACCTTATCAACGACGATTAAGAGCATCATTGAACTTTCATTTTCGTACATGTTTCTAGGCCGGTTCTTGCTTTTTAATTTTAATAATTAAAATAATAGGCTATGGTCGTTTTCGTTTTTTTATTATTTTATTAAGTATAATGATTTGCAAAACATTATGAATATTTCCATATTTCAACCATGTTTTTTTTTATTAAATTCAAGTTTGAACAGAATCTGTCTCAAATTGTGTTGGGTCTTTGGGAATGCGAAACACGTGGTGCATGCATGCAACATGGCCATTAAGATCGAACCCTATGGTCATGTTCCAATTTTCACATGCTAAACCTTTTTTAACCAAACGTGATAACAGAAAAATAAATTTTAATTATTATTGAGATGTTTATTTTTTAAGAACAAATAATATAATCTTGAACTTATTTTGTATTCTTTTAAATTAAATAAATAATCTAATTTTTAAATTAATAAGAATCGATATTCACCATTATAATATTTACATGATAATCAATAATATTAATGTTATAATTAAGAGTAGAAGATGACATGACATGATGACTTAATTTATTCTTTTAGAAACTTTAAGGCTTGATTAATTTGTATAAACATTATTTTTTATTTGCACCCAATTATTAAAGATTTGACTATGTATTATATATGATGTTTCTTTGTATATCTAATTGTTTTACTGTAAACACGTGACATTGAAAAAGTATTTGAAGACAAGTAAGAACATAGAGAAACAAAGAGTATAAAAGTATGTTCGTCCGAATAAGAGAAAAAAATACAGAGAGATACTTTATTATTCAAATTATAAATCATCATATTTAAATGAGATATATTATAATATTACTCAAGAGTGAAAGATAAATTTACATTGAAGTAAAGTCCTACAATTTTCTCAATTTAAATTTACATGTTAGTAAAATTCCATGAATTATTCTTATTATCTTTTATTTTATTTTTAATAATTAATGCCCATCTTAATTAAAAGAATATTTTCGTATTGTTGTTAGGGATAGTAAAAAAACCAAACCCATCGGGAAAAATCGAAAACCGAATTAAATGGGTCGGGTTCGGGGATGATAAACGGGGATGGGGAAAAACTGATTTTTTTAAACGGAGACGGGTTTGGTAATCCCCGCCCCAATTACCCGAATACCAGGCCCGATAAATATTAAATATATATATAATATTAATAAATTTAAATTAAATTAATATATATATATAAAGTAGATTAGGCGGGTATTTAAACGGGTAATTTTCACCGCGGTTATCCCCGCGGTGAAAATTATCCGTTTAAATAACTGTTTATGCTAAACGGGGATACCCGTTTCCTCGCGGTTTTCCCCAATTACCCGATGGGATCCCCGTTTAAATCTTCGCGGTTTTTTAAACGGTGACGAGTATGAATTTTTTTAAACGGGGACGGGGGCAATCCCCGACCCGAAACCGTCTGTTGCCATCCCTAATTGTTGTTTATTCCCAACAACAAATTTGCTTATTTATACTTCTATACATGTACTAACATTAACATTTTTTAAAAAATACTATGTATTCCAATTTATAAAAAAAACCATTCGACTGTGTTATTAATTTGATTTATATTATTATATCAAAATAATAGAGGAATTCAATTATTGATACTATAAGTAGGATTAAAATTTAAATGTGTGAAGAGTATAAGGGTCAAAAGCATAATTAGATTAAAAATTTTAACTTGGTTACACACCTTTTTTAGATAATAACTTGGTTACACACTTAAAATAACTACAAACGTGTATCAATTTATGTTGGTTCAAGTGATAATCAATTTAATATCACTTAAGTAAGGTCTTGAATTTAAATAATTGTGTATAAAAAAATTATTGTTAGAAGATTTATCCACCAATTTCATGTGTGCTACGTTCGTTCAAGTCGGTTGGTTCACTCAAAATAATTATATTTATAGATAGTAGATTACTGAATTTTTTTAGTCAATGATGTATTAACATCACGCGCCATCACAAAAAGAAAAGGCTTTTGACTTTATCTCCCAAAGTAAGTTCAAATTTAGTCCAACACCGACTCGAAAACGGCACCGTTTCATCCATCTTCTCGCGTATATAAACATTATAAAATGGATTCTCAAAACACGTTCAGTTTCAGGAGGTGGGAATTTAGTTATTTGGACGCTTTCTCTCCCTCTTTCCGCTCTATCCAAACAGAAGAGAAGAAAGGAAAGGAAAATGCCTTTGTCTCTACTGATGCCGACGTCTCCCATTTTCTCGCAAAAGAAGCTCCCTTCAATATACTGCAAATCGGACGGTTCATCTTTCCATTCATCTCCTCGGATCAACGGTTCTCAAGCGCCATCGTCTCCGTTATCCATTTCGTTATCACCCACGAAATCACCTCGTCAACTCTCGTCGACCTCCTTAACAACATCGCAATCGCCTTTTTCGCCGTTGAAATATCCGTTGTCGATTTGCGTCCCGAAGATACAGCTACCATTCGGAGCCGATGCGAAGCCATCTTTGGTGAAGGGGAAGAGGCCGGGGAGGATAGAGATACCGACGTCAATGGAGATTCAGCTGGGATTCTCGGCGGGGACGCCTATAGGAGATGAGGAGGTGCGGGTGGAAGCGGAAGGATATTCTGTTTATTGCAAGAGAGGGAGAAGAGGGAAAATGGAAGATCGTTACTCTGCTGCCGTTGATCTTGACGGAGATCCCAAACAGGTATTTTCCCCCTCTAATTTTCTTCTTTGAATCAAATTTTCTCTATCATTTTCACATAAAATGCATAGTTTAAGGTTGAAGCTACGAACTAGTTCAAAACTTCGGGATTTTGTTATAAAAAAGTTGAAATTCAATTATTAACTTTTTGGAGGGACTAACAATGTGTTTTCCCATAATCTTTGCGTGATTGGAATTTTAGAGGTTTGATTTTTCTTTTTCCTTTTGCAGGCTTTCTTTGGTGTTTATGATGGGCATGGAGGTTCAAAGGCAGCGGAATTCGTGGCAAAGAATTTAGATAAGAAGGTAATGGCAGAGGTATCAAAAACAGGGGAAGATGCCGCCATTGATCATGCAATTGGAGAGGCATATTTAACCACCGATACGGATGTGCTCAAGGAAGATCTGAGTGGTGGTACTTGCTGTGTTACGGCAATGATTCGTAAAGGCAATCTTTTCGTATCGAATGCAGGCGATTGTCGTGCCGTTTTGTGCCAAAACGGTGTAGCAGAGGCTCTAACGTCCGATCATCATCCTTCGAGGCAAGACGAGAAAGATAGAATTGAAGCTTTGGTAAACAAACAATTTCCCTTGGTTCATCTTTAGCTCAAATTCAATGCAATGTAGATAAAAGGAATTATAACCTGATGTTTAATTTTGTAGGGTGGCTATGTGGATCGTTGCCACGGTGTTTGGAGAATTCAAGGTTCTTTAGCTGTTTCAAGATCAATTGGTGATAAACATCTTAAACAATGGGTAATTGCCGAACCCGAAACAAAGATGTTAGAAATTAACCCCGAATGTGAGTTTTGATCCTTGCCTCGGATGGTCTTTGGAATAAGGTAATATTTCTTTCCGATGCACTCTTGTGCAATCCTTTTATATTTATCATCGACTTAATAAATTTTCTTTTTCATTGTTTTGTGATAGTTTACTTATTATTTCGTAACAACCTTAGATCGAAATTGTTTTCGAACCCCATTGCGTAATGTTGAGTTGAGCATTGGTTTCTGTTCCTTTTCAGGTTACTAATCAAGAGGCGGTCGATTTAGTTCGGCCTTTCTGCGTCGGCCTCGATAATCCTAACCCGTTCTTGGCTTGCAAGAAACTGGCTGAATTATCATCATGGAGAGGCTCATTCGACGACATTAGTTTGATCATAATTCAGCTACAACATTTCGTTTCTGGACTCATCGAGGAAAAAAAGAATCCGATTAAATTCGATTGTCCGGAGAATCGAATCTCTCACCGTTATCAAAAGCTAGAAGAGATCTCTTAGACCAGTTACTACACTTGGAAATATACTTCATCCGTTTATCCTACATAAAACTACAGGAACCAGTGGCTCTTGACATGGGACAGACATTGCAATGTGTTTGTTGCAGATGCAGGTTCACGTTAGGGTCCAATGGGTTCCCACTGTAATTATTTCATGAGGAATCATCAAATAAGTTTTGAAAAGTTTTTTGAAGACAGATATTGGAGCACTCGTAGCAGCTGTTTTGATGGTCAACCCTACAATTTGACATTTTGATTGAAGTAATTCATATCACATCGCATGTCTTTTGTCTATTATTGATATATACCGTAAATCCATCCAGGTTTATATTATTGATGGTTAAATCAGCCGATTAATGGTTGCTGTACCTACATGTTAATCATGAGCAAATATTGGTAAACCAATAGATCCAACATAATATATATTCTAAAATTCTAAAATTTTGATGTTTTAAAATGGTGTCAATTAAATATATAATGTATTGGTAAGCAACATCATTTTAATTTTAGTTGATACTAAATTTTGAGAAGGATAAAAATAAAATAATTATAATTTTGGTTAAACGTCACTTATTATACATTTTTTTTGGATAAGTAAAGTTTTTATTTATCCAAAAGGAAGCAGCAAGCTGCTACAAAGAACATTACAAACGACTAAATCAAATCCCAAGCAAGACACAACCTCCTATTTACATTATCCAATCTGTTCACATGACTCCTATACATTTTGATTCTAATTGCCTCTCTAACTCTATCAACAATTTCCTCAGCTGGACGGATCACACCTCTAAAAATCCTGCGATTCCGCTCCTCCCAGACAAAATAAACAAAACCAGTCCAAGCTAGCTTTAGTATTCGAACTAAAAGGGATTTACCTTTCAAACTCGATACCAGCCAGCGCAAAGCATCATTCCAGCAGCGAAACACATGAAGCAGAATAGTACCCCAAACCTCCTTTGCATAAGAACAGTCCAAGAAGAGATGATTTCGGGATTCCTGGCCAGCAGCACATAGCCCACATGCATCATCAGTCACCACGCCAAATCTGACTAATCTGTCCCTTGTTGGCAACCTATCAAGAATCACCATCCAAGCTATAATGGAAAATTTAGGAATATGAGCAGTGAATCAAATAAGTCCATGCCAATAAACATTGTCTCTCATTTCTCGAACATTATCCCAAATCCAACCACCTTTGAACTGCACCAAATTAGTAGCAGACCAGAACAGTCTTCTAGCTTCATCCTTTAGCTTTATCAATTTCCTGAGAATCCAGCTAAAATGGAGTTTGCAACCAACATTCCAATAATCCACAGTTTTGAAGCAATAACCTTTGATCCATGCAATCCATAAGGACCCCTCATCAGCAAGAATTTTCCTGACAAGCAAAAGGCAACAAGCCTTGCTCCAATCTGTTAACTTCCTCAGGCCCAAACCACCTTCAGATTTTAAACAACAAATCTGACTCCAGCTCACTCTGGCCCCTTTTGCTGGAATATCATTTCCCCTCCAAAAAAACCTCATGCAGAGCTTCTCAATGTCAATAATAACACCTTTGGGCAAGACAAGTTGTCTACTCCAATAGCCAAAGATGTTAAACAAAATAGATTTAACAAGCTGAAGTCTCCCCCCAAAGCTTAGATGCCTGCTAGACCATTTATCAATCATACTCTTAATTTTAACAAGTAAAGTCGAGCAATCCTTACTTGTGAGCTTTTGAGTAACCAAAGGCACTCCTAGGTATCTAACAGGCAACTGGCCAATTTTGAAACCAGTAGCTAAATGAATCTGCTGCAGGCTATTCTCAGGCACCCCACTAGCAAAAAACTCAGATTTCATAGCATTTAATCTTAAACCAGAGAGTTCATAGAAACTGTCGAGAATCCTCACAACCCCAATAACAAAATCAAGAGGCCATGGCAGAACAAGAGTAAATCATCAGCAAAACAAATGTGGGTAAGGCAAATTTCTTGCATTTTGGATGGAACTTAAAGACACCATCCTTAGCAGCAACATTCAGCAGGACTGAAAGCACATTCATCACAATAACAAATAGGTATGGAGATAATGGGTTCCCTTGCCTCACTCCTCTTGCTCCCAAAAAATACCCTACCAAACTACCATTTAAAGAAATATAATACCTAGGAGAAGTCACACATGCTTTGATCCATCCACAAAAAATGAAAGGCAAACCCAAAGCTTCAAGAACATTCAGCAAAAAACCCCAACAAACTGAATCAAAAGCTTTTTGGAGATCTATTTTCAAAGAACATCGAGGAGAAAGATTTTTCCTAGAGTAACCTCTAACAATCTCCTGAGCAAGCAAGGTATTTTCAGCAATATTTCAACCCTTTACAAATGATGATTGGTTATGAGAAATCATACCAGGGAAATAGACTGCCATCATAGTGACTAAAATCCTTGTAATTGTTTTGTAAATAACTGAGCAGCATGAAATAGGCCTAAAGTCCTTAGCCATACAAGCATTCAAGGATTTAGGCACCAAGGTAATTGTGGTGGCATTAAAAGCAGGCAGGAGTGAAGATGTATGAAAGAAATACCTGATAGCAGCCAAAAAATCTTTACAAACAATCTCTCATGCTACCTTGAAAAACCATGAAGTGTAACCATCTGGCCCTGGGCTTTTATCTTTCACCTGCCTGAAAAGTGCTTCCTTAATCTCCTTATCTGTGATCTCACCAACAAGGAGTGCATCAGCTCCATCAGGCAAGGAGTAGTTCAACAAAGATTTCAGCCATTCCAAAGAACAACCCTTCACCAGAGGGTCAGGAGTGCCAATAAGGCCCTTGAAAAAATTAACCAGCTCAGTAGCCATACCATCAAAAGATTCATGAAACGCCCCATTCTCATCTTTAATAATTCTAATAGTATTCCGTTTTTTATTTGATTCAACTCTCTGATGAAATAATTTAGTATTCAAGTCACCTTCTTCCAACCAGTGAGCTTTTGCTTGTTGCCTATAAAACTCAGATTCTGCAGCTTCCAATTCAATTAATTCTGCCTGAACCACTTCTCTTCAGCCACTTTTCTATGATCAACTTGGCCAAGATTGTGAATCTGGATAGATTCCAATTCAGCCCTCTTACCAGCCACTCTACCAGAGATGTCAGAGAAAAAGCTCTTGTTAAACTCCCTTAACACATGTTTGAGCCTTTTCATCTTGCATAACAGAATTTGCATTGCATTTCCAGTACACTGTTCTTGCCAAGATTCCCTTACCACCCTAAAAAAATTTACATTTGCAGTCCAATAATTAAAAAATTTAAAAGGCTTAGGCATATGGACTTAAGCACTTATTTGAGACCAAACTATGCCAGGGCAGTGATCTGAGACTCCCTGAGCTTGAAACTCCACAAACGAGTCAGGGAATTCCAGCAACCATTGAGAATTTATAAGTATTCTGTCGAGTTTTCGAGCCAAATAAGAATTTTCTTGCTTATTTGACAAGGTGAATAGGGGGCCAGAATAAGGATGGTTCTGCAACTCCAAATCCACCAAGCATCCTTTAAAATCCTCCATGTCAAAACTGCTATGCAATCCCAAAATATCAAAATCTGAACTTTCTTGAGCATTGGAAACAACATTGAAATCACCCCCAATAAGCCATGGGAGAGAACCAATGTCAGCTTCAAGATTCTTCAAATGCTCCCAAAGACCCCTCATAGCCATTCCATTGTTTCTACCATACACAACAGTAATAACCATGCTATGACCAGCTACATCTCCAACAATAGTAAGGGTCTGACCACAACCTTTTAAGAAAGAAAAAACCAGCCTTTTCCTCCACAACACCCAAAGCCTGCCTCCATCAGAAAAATCATAATTAGCAGCAAAATTCCAATCAGCACTCAAAGCTTCAAAAACCTTTGAGAAATTTGCACTTCGAACTCTAGTTTCCATAAAACAGGTAACATCAACACATAGAGCCTCCAACCTCCTCATGACTCTTCTTAATTTGAGGCTATTATTGATCCCCCTGACATTCCAAAAACTAAAGATCATTTGTTAGGTATAGGAGGATCTCCACTATCAACACCACAACTTACCTCAAGGCCCTTAGCCCTATCCAAATGCTCTTTCTTTTTTGTCTTTATTTCATTAAAAAGCATAGCAAATCCCAAGGATGTTGTTCTAGTCTTCCTTGGCCCATCAAGAACACCACCTCCAGCAAGAGTTTCCAATTTGCTAGATGAACCAATATTATCCTTCTTTTTCCCCCTAGCCTTTCCCTTTTGATTTATGAAATCTTGTAGAGAAGGGAAATCTCCACTATAGTTTGTAGCTTTAGGGATGATTTTATCTCCAGCAGCATCAATCTGACCACCACTAACCAAAACTTTCTCGACAGCTTGTAGAGATTGAGCGTGAAGAACAACACTCCCCATTGACTCGGGCTTACTACCATGACTAGCAGGGTCAGTTGGCAGCTCACCAGAACCAACTTGATCATCTTTCCCAGGACTGTCTACCACTTCCTTATCCACCTGCAGAGAGGTATCAGTAGGCTCTTGAAGAGCAAAAACAGATACTTCCTCAACAACACCTAATTTCAAACTAGTAGCCCTTTGCATCTCACTACTTGATTGAGTCGTCTGAGTGGCAGAGGAAGAGAGAGCCAAAGGCAAGCTAGAATTACCAACCAACCCCTCTTTACCAGCATTACCAAGAGTACTTGAACTCACATTCTTCCTCCAAAAATGAGTTTCATTTGTTTCCTTGGTTTTCACAGGGGCTTTTAGCACTTCAATACAACTACTTGCTAAATGGCCAAAAGTGTTACACTGCAAGAAAATCTTAGGAAACCAATGAGCATACACCCTAATTTTTGTAATAGAGCCATCCCTTAAGACTACATGGATTACCTCAGGGATCACTGCCCCAGCTTCAACCTCAACACAAACTTTGGCAAATTCGAGTATCTCATTTGAAGCAGTAATAATATCCATATACAATGGATTACCCACGACACTAGCTATATAGCTAAGACCTACTCGAGAAAAAAGCTCCAAATGAACATTTTATAATTGAACCCAGACATGTATGCGTTTTAGATCAAAATCAAGTTTCCTCAAGCTCGGTTCCCATTTTCTTAACACAAGAGGCTTGTTTTGAATGTGCCAAGGGCCATTCTCAAGCACCCAGTCTCTCAAATCGAATTAGTGAATGAAAAAACATAGAGGTTGTGCCCAGCCAAGCTTACCTTAACATGAGAAGCTTTCCCCCAAAGAATCTCAGCAATACGCTGCATAGAGCCAAAGTTGGGAGCGTCTCCAATGAACTGCCCAACCACAGCACAATCCCATTCAGCAATTCCCTCATCAAATACAGCGACATGAGGCTTTACAGTCGAAATACCCTCCAGCACTTCAGGCAGAAATAACTCTAGGGATTGCTCCTTCATCCCTAATTTTTGCAATAGAGCCATCCCTTAAGACTACATGGATCACCTCAAGGATCACTGCCCCAGCTTCAACCTCAACACAAACTTTGGCAAATTCGAGTCTCTCCTTTGAAGCAGTAACAATATCCATATACAATGGATTACCCACAGCACTAGCTATATAGCTAAGACATATTCGAGAAAAAAGCTCCAAATGAACATTGTATAATTGAACCCAGACAGGCATGCGTTTTAGATCAAAATCAAGTTTCCTCAAGCTCGGTTCCTATTTTCTTAACACAAGAGGCTTGTTTTGAATGTGCCAAGGGCCATTCTCAAGCACCCAGTCTCTCAAATCCGAATTAGAGAATGAAAAAACATAGAGGTTGTGCCCAGCCAAGCTTACCTTAACATAAGAAGCTTTCCCCCAAAGAATCTCAGCAATACGCTGCATAGAGCCAAAGTTGGGAGCATCTCCAGTGAACTACCCAACCACAGCACAATCCCATTTAACAATTCCCTCATCAAATACAGCGACAAGAGGCTTTACAGTCGAAATACCCTCCAGCACTTATTATACATTTATCATTTTCTTTATACACACACATATATATGGGGTGAATATAAGGTGTTATATGTTTAAAGACTTTACTTTTTGACAATTAATGCTCATGCCCTTAGCATACGCGGTGCTCGAATCTGGAACCTAAAGCGATAAAAACAACTCTCAATCACTAAGATCGCTTGATTTGTTCACAATATGATAACTAAAATGGTAGATACAAACAACTTAAATAAATTATATATACAAATAAATATCACTATCGACAATGAAAAATAAAATTTTCTTAACACTAACCAAATGATTTCAATGATTAAGTGAATAATTTACTTTTTTTAGAAGTCTCAAGTTCAAGTATATCGTTTACAAGATATACATTTATAATATAAATTTATTATCTATTTAATTTAATATAAATGATTGAATTTTCATATTATTTACTATGTGATAATTAATAAAAAATTAAAACTTACATTTTTATTACGATTACAATTAATAATATTACTGAATTTAATCTAGTGATAATAGTATAAAAATATAAATTACATCAAATTAATAAGGTTATTGGGTTGGTTCGAGTGGTAAGTAACTCAATATTGCTTAAGTATGTCTCGAGTTTGAGTCATCTTATTTACACAAAATTCTCGTTGAGAGACTCACCCATCAAAATCAAGTGTGCAACACATGTCAGCCTGGATTAATCAAGGCAAAGCCTTGAGAAACCGGGAGGACAAAAAAAGGCTTAATATAAAAATAAGTGCCCAAACTATATCATTTTCCTATTTAGATGCCTAAACTACTTCTCGATCAATCCAGGTTCCTAACGTCACAACGTTACCACTTTAAGTGTACCGACCATAACGACCGTTAAAAATTCATGTTAAATGACACATATTGTATTATGATAATTTTAAAGGTTTTTTCTAAAAATTAAAAAATAAATTATTACTTTTTTGGATAACTGACGTATTATTCATCCAAAGCAACTATCTTTGTACAAACAAATACAATTAATAGACCACCAACAACCCAACAATATATCACCCCTCCAATAACAAGAACAAAGTAAGCAAACAATCTACAGTAAACCCGACTTTGTAGCAAAAGTAGATGAGACAACAACCCTCGTACACCTTGTTAATTTCAGCCTAGCGTCACGCTAAATTTGTAGAGCAATACCCTCAATTGAAATAGGAGCTACACCATACATCCTGTTGTTACTCTCCAGCCAAATATAATAAAGATAACAACACCAGGCTATCTAAATGATAGTGACCTTTAAAGATCTAATCCTACCATGATCTTGCACCCAACCTACCATATCTATCCAACAAATTAAAGTCTGTTTTCACGACAAGCTTGCATAACTTCCCTCCAAATCTGTTTGGAGAAATCACATTAAGCAAATAAGTGATCCCTAGTTTCAATTACAGAATCACAGAAAATACAATTTGTGTTAATCTTATCACCTCATCTTAATGTACAAGTTTTTGTTGGCAAACTATATAGTATCACTAAACAATATATAAATGAATACCTAAGTAGACAAGCTCACCCAAAGAATCTTAAACCAATGAACTTTGTCTTGTTTATGTCTAAGCACCTTCTAGACCTTCTTAGCTTGAAAATCAACGTCCATACTATCAACAAGCACATAATCATCCCTCAATTTAAGAATTTTATTAGCTATCCTTTATAGGTGCATTCTTTATCCTTTGACCCCACGTGTAGGATGATACATTTTCTCCCAACTAACTCAAGCGTCCCCAGTAAAACCATCTGAATCCTTATAAAGAAAAACATTACACAATCTTTCATTTTGTGTCAACATTTTGGAAGGAAATATAAAAATTATACTCCAAAAATATTGAACACTAAAAATAACCGCTTGAATGAACTGCAATCTTCCAATAAAGGATAAGCATTTAGAAAGCCAGCTTTGAATTTTCCTAACAATTTTTCTAACAATCCTTTACAGTTCAAGTAAGAAATAGTCTTAGAGATAAGTGAGACTCCCAAGTATCTCACCGGAAAGTGCCTATACAAAACTCAATATAAACAATCATAATTTTCATCTAGGAGACCCAACTCCAACACAATAGAGCTTGCTTTTTAAGGCATTCATCTGCATTCCTCTTAGTTTCCTTCAGTCTGTCGCCCCCTCCCTCCCTCCCCTTTGACTGTAGACCCTAGACCCTAGCTCCGAATGAGCTACAACTCCAACACAATAAAGCTCATTTTTAAGGCATTCAGATGCACTCCCCTTAATTCCTTGGTCTGCTTGTCTCCCTCCCTCCCTCTCCCGTGATTCTAGACCTTAGACTCCAATCACCTTTCTCTTCTTCTCTCACGTCTCTCAGTTGTAACATCCTCAATATCAGGCTAGTGACCTAAAGGTGAATTTTGAAAGCATTATGTTCAATTTCGAAATAAGTTAAAAGTTTAGAATTTTAATTGGAGAATTTTGAGGTTGGATTTAATAGTAAAGTTTGAAAGTAATAAGGGTATTATGGTCTTTTCTAAGAGAAGATTTTTATTTCTCTTTTAGGGGATATAAAAACGTGGGAAATGAGGGAAATGAGTTTCCAGAGTTTTCTTCTTCTCCTTTCTTCTTCACGCGTGGAAGCCAAGAGCAAAGGTGAGAATTTTTATTAGTTGATTATTATTGAATTCTAAGTTGGTTTTGATTCTTTGGAAAGTAAGAAAGCTTAAAGAAGTCAAAAGATAAGTGAAAACTCAAAGATGAAGAGGTTAGAAAGAGAAAGAAAATGGGGTTTTAAGTGAAATTTTGAATAAGAAGGTTTAAATGAATTTGGAGGATGAATTTGACTTGTCATCTATAAGAATAAGAAGTTAGAAGTGTTAGAATTAAGTTTGGATAACATGGAAAATTGGGTATGATTATTGATTTCCATATGAAATATGGAATTTAGAGGTTAAAGATGAGATAAATGAATATTAATAAGTTTAAGTATGTATATGTAAGTTAGGAATATGAAA